CCTCTCCTTCTTTCTGCTGCCTACAAGAGCCCCAGGCCCGGCCACAGTTCTGTCTCCACCTTTTAGTCCCCTATTCTCCAACCACAGAGGAAAGAAATAAGGAAGGAGTCTGTGCTGCCTTCAGAAAGAATGTATATACCTGATCAGCCAGTTGCCTTCCTCAGAGGGAGGCCAGACTGCGGCTTAGGCCCACTCCCCACAGGGACATCAGTAGGACACCCTGTGAGGGCTCTCAGACTGTTAGAGGGGGCAGGCTGGGCTGAGGGATGCCCCCCCAAGTGCACAAATTTTTGTGCACCTTGGCCTCTAGTTATTAATAATCATGTATAACAGGATATTATAAAAATTAAGTTATGCAATTTTTTATTGAAATGTTTCTTACATACTGTAATTTTGGCTGGGCCACAAAAATATTCGCTGTGGGCCACATGCAGCCCGTGGGCCCCAAGTTTGAGATGCGTGGTACACAGTGATAGCTTCTTCCTCCCTCCCGGTCACAGGTCCTATCAGACTATAACTTCCACCATCAAATATCAAACTGTATATCCCAAATGCTTTTTCTTGGATGGTCCAGGCAGTAGTAGAAAAACGTATCTTTATGAAGTTTTAATACTTTATATTAGAGGTCATGGTGGAACTGTTCTACCCACAAGAATTGCTGCAAATTTCCTTCTCAGTGGAAGAACTTTTCATTCCAAATATAAATTACCAATCCATTAAATGAAACTTCAATTTCTAGACTCAATATAAAGAGTGAAGTTGCTAAAACTATTAAAAAGACCCAATTCTCATTATTGATGAATGCACCATGGCATCCAGTCATGCTATAAATGCAATAGACAGATTACTAAGAGAAATTATGAATTTGAATGTTCTATTTGGTGGGAAACTGCTCCTCCTCGGAGGGGATTTTCAACAATGTCTCAGTGTTGTGCCACATGCTATGTGATCAGCCATAGTACAAATGAGTTTAAAGTACTGTAATGTTTGGGATGTTTCAGAAAGTTGTCTCTTAAAACAAATATGAGATCAGAGGATTCTGCTTATAGAAAATAGTTAGTAAAACTTGGAGATGGCAAACTTGATAGCAGTTTTCATTTAGGAATGGATATTGTTGAAATCCCGTGAAATGATCTCTAATGGATCTATCATTGAAGCTACCTTTGGAAATAGAATATCTAAACGTGCAATTCTTTGTCCAAAAAATGAGCACATTCATAAATTAAATGAAGAAATTTTGGATATACTCAGTGGAGATTTTCACACATATTTGAGTGATGATTCCATCAATTCAATGGATTATGCCAAAAAGGAAGATTTTCCCATCAAATTTCTTAATAATATTACTCCTTTTGGAATTCTGTGTCATAAATTAAAAATTGAAAGTGGGTGCAATCATCATTCTACTGAGAAATCTTAATAGTAAATGGGGTCTTTGTAATGGTACTAGATTTATTATTAAAAGATTGTGACCTAATATTATCGAAGCTGAAGTATTAACAGGATCTGCAGAAGGAGAGGTTATTCTGATTCCAAGATTTGATTTGTCCTTATCTGACACTGGCCTCCCATTTAAATGAATTCGAAGTATGTCCAACCATCTGACCGACCTACTGGCTAGTACATATAACGCACACTGGCAATTTAAAAATAAATGTTGACTTGCGCATGTACAATATTTGTCCCCATCTGACACTGGCCTCCCATTTAAATTAATTTTACAATGACTATTTGTGATGATTATTAATAAATCACAAGGACAAACTCTAGACAGAGTAGGAATATTCCTACCTGAACCCATTTTCAGACATAGTCAGTTACATGTTGTTTTCTTTCAAGTTCAAAGAGCGTGTGATGCTAAAGTTAAAGTAGTAAATACTTCATCACAAGGGAAATTAGTCAAATATTTTAACTAATGTTTATACGATTAGTGTTTTTACTTTTAATGTGGTATACAGAAAGATATTAGAATAAGTTAAATCAATTTATCAATCATTGTATCAATGGTGTTTTCATATCATGTTTTTGTTGTTTTTATATCATGCGTTTGTTCTTTTTATATCATGTCTTTGTTGTTGTTATATCATGTTGTTATTGTTTATTTATTAGTAAATTTATGTATTATTTTCATATACATTTTACCAATTTTCTTTGATCTCTGACACTTCTATTATAGAGGAAGGGCAAATAGCAATATTAAAATATTTCTTCTAATTAATTCCCTTTCAATGTGCATGAATTCATGCACTGGGCCACTAGTATGCATATATGCATAGCCCATGGACACAAACAATAGAGTGGTGGAGGCCTGGGAGGGGCGGGTGCAGGATGGAGGGGGTCAATTGGAAACAAACAAACTGGACATCTTTAATGCTTTCAGCAATAAAGATAACTTAAAATCTACACTAATAAAAGAGAAAAATTGACCATACCTTCGTGACACCCTCCAGCCAATCAGGAGTGAGTATGAAAATTAACCCAACAAAGATGGAAGGTTAATTTGCATATGCAGGCGCTGAGCGGCTGGGAGTGGGGCAACCGCTTGCATGCATGCTGGCACCAAGCAGCATGGGTCCTGGGGACAGGTGTCCTGGGGACCCAGGCAGCTCTGAGACTGTAGGCCTGCACATAGGCTCAGAGCAGCCGGGGTCCCGGAACGACTCCCGGCCACTCCAGGCCAAAGCGTGTAGCCACCGAGCAGCTGGGGGTGGGGCAGGAATGCCCTCTGCATCACCATGGCAGGCCTGTGGGCAGCACGCATGCACTGAGTGGCCGGGTGGTGAGGCAGGACAGCGAAAAAACCAAGTGTGCGAGGAGCACCAGGAATTCTGGAAATCGTAGCTCTGGTAGCAGCCCCTGGACGAGAAGCGAAAGCTCAGAGCACAAGGAGCACCAGGAATGCTGGGAATCTTAGTTCTGGTGGCAGATGCCTTGTGGGATCTCCTAGACCAGTGGTCTGCAAAGTCATTAGTCAACAGAGCCAAATATCAACAGTACTTCTTCAAAATAGACTCTCCCAGGCCGAAAACCGACTTCTGTGCATGGGCCATGAAGTTTCAATTGCACTGTACATGTGCGCCTGCACGTGGTATTTTGTGGAAGAGCCACACTCAAGGGGCCAAAGAGCCGCATGTGGCTTGCGAGCCGCAGTTTGCCGACCACTGTCCTAGACACTAGAGCAAAGTGAGCCTGGAGCAAGTTACTGTTGTGGGTGGGGGATGGAAAGAAAGCAAAGGTGAGAGACATAAGTAAAGTCAGAGTGTCGAGGAAAAATTAAAGGGAAGATATCCTGCAACTTCTAGGAAATCTTCACCAATGGAGCAAAGAAAGAAAAGACCTCTACTATTTTGTGAGCACAAAACCAAACTGGGTTGGGGTCTCAGACAATTCACTCACATGATTGCAAAGACAGACAGAAACTCCCGAATTAGAGAGGGCTCCCCTGAGGGCTCCCAGATTGGAGAGGGTGCAGGTCGGGCTGAGGGACCCATTCCCCATGCACAAATCTTTGTGCACCAGGCCCCTAGTCCTATATAATCAAGAGCTAATATGCAAATAGTAGTCACGCCCTCACACCATCACACCATAATGGCTCAGACACTCAACACTGGGGAGAGAGGAATGGGGACCAGCCAGGCACAAATGAGCTCACTAGAGAGGAATGGGGACCACCCAGGCTGCATCCTGGGAGAGGGACAAGCTTCCCGCCCCACAGTCCCAGGCACCAGCGACTGTGCCTGCACCTGCGGCCCAGGAGAGGGACAAGCAACACGCCCCACGGTCCTGAGTGCCAGCGGCTGCGCCTGCACCTGCAGCCCAAGAGAGGGACCAGTCGCGTACCCCATGGTTCTGGATGCCAGTGGCTGTGCCTGAGCCAGTGGCCCATGAGAGGTACAAGTCACCTGCCCCCAAAGCCTGGGTGCCAGGAGCTGGAGCTGTGGCCCAGGAGAGAGACAAGCCGCCCACACTGGGGTCCCAGGCAGCAGCGGCTGCACCTGTGCCTGGGGCCTGGAAGAGGGACAAGCCGCCCACCCCACGGTCCCAGGTTCCAGCGGCTACAGCCCAGGCAAAGCAGCTCACCCATGGTCTCCTGCAGCTGTAGCCGGCCCAGGAGAAGCTGGCGCAGGTCCTAGGTGCATGTGGCTGGCCAGAGGAGGGAATACTGGGTCCCAGGTGAGGGGTGAGGCAGAGGCAGTTAGGGGCCATCAGGTCAGTAGGGGAGCAGTTAGGGGCAATCAGGCTGGTAGGGGAGCAGTTAGGGGCAATCTGGAAGGCAAGCAGAGGTGGTTAGGGGTGATCAGGCAGGCAGGCAGAGGGATTAGGGGTGATCAGTCAGGCAGGCAGGCGAGCAGTTAGGAGCCAGCGGTCCCAGATTGTGAGAGGCAGTCGGACATCCCCCGAGGGGTCCCGGATTGGAGAGGGTGCAGGCCAGGCTGAGGGACCTGCAACCCCATGCACAAATTTCATGCACCGGGCCTCTAGTAAGTAAGTAAGTAAGTAAATAAATCTTGCCAATATGCTAAACTCCCCCTATGTGAGAGTCTTAAAATTCTTTTCCCGTGACACCACAGAAATGCCTATTTCCAAGTGGTGATGGGACAGACCCACATTGGTGTCTGTCCTCTTCTGGTAACAAAAGAGTTCTCACTCATTCTCACACTCATTAGAATGCAGCAGAAAGTGTTATATTGCTGTTAATGCAGTGTAACAAAGCTTAACAGAAGTTTTGAGGTTAAAAATATGGGGGTCTGGACCCTTCGTTGCCCTCTTTCTTATTGCCTTCCTTTGAAACACTCAGAGCTCAAAAGCAGGAATGAATCCTATTTCTCTTTGTCCCACCTCTGGTCTGGTGTCCTTGACACTCTAATTCTCCCAATACATTCCTTTTTTCTTCTATGAGAACCAGGGAAATCAACAAAGAAAAGACAGAAGAGAGCATAAGGGAATCTGTATCAAGTGAGAGGCAAAATGGTAAAAACTTTAAACAACCTTATCTGAGCGTTGTTGCTAGATTGGATGCTGCTGGATTTATGAATCGCTTCATAAAGCCAAATTTACTCTGTTGAATTTTATTTGGTAACAGATGGAAAGGATCACCATGAATTGGAGCCTACAAGCTTCTCACTGGCCAAAGAACTAAACGTAGGACAGTAGCAACATGTAAGAAAGGAGTTTCAGTGGCTGAAATGTCTATGGTATATTCCTGTAACTGTACCAGGTAAGTGGCTAGGTATGACTTCTATTAAGAAGAAAATAAAGTTAATGATAGGAGATGAGGCCAGAGAGGTGACCAAAATTCAGACTATGTAGGAGATTATGTGATATACTAAAGGAAGTTGATATTTCCTGTAGGATATTCACCTACTATACATGAAAAATTCCAAATTTTGGATGGCATAATCATGCTGGTGATTATGAAGATCACAAGTGTTGCAGATAGATTTTATTCATTAGTTTTTGGTTGCCAGCAACCTGAAACAATTTGAGGTAGCTTAAGGGGAAAAAATGTAAATGGTGGTTTGAGTAGGGTGGGGATTTACTGAAAGAATGTGGGAGAGATTACAATATGAAAAAAATATACCAGAAGAATTAGTCTTTGGAAATAGCTGAAACCCAATAAGCTTAGTTAAGCTGGAGATCAGGGATTAATGGTCATAAATCCACTTCCTTCTTTTTTTTTAACCCTGACTCACTACTTGAAATTCAGACTCTGAGGACAGTGTAGGGGAGAAAAAAAAATCTTTTTCTTTTATCCTTCTAGGTTCTCAGTTAAAACCTCTTTAATAGAAAGCAGATTAACAAGAGAAAAACAAGCATGTAATTAGCATGTATATCTCATACATACTTGAGCAAAACTCAAAGACGAGTAACTGAAAGAGGTGGCCAGCACTTGGGCACATACTATCCTCAGCTAAAACAAAGGAAAAAGAGTGTGGAAGAGGCAAGTTATGAAAAGGTGACTGGAACCAGGCCAAGAGACATTGTGAGAGTTTAAGAAATTGTATTGCATTTTCTCATAGTGGGCTGGGACCCATGTGTTGATGTCAGCAAGCAAGAGTAGGAAGGGCAGGATATCCTATATAATAAAGAGGGAATATGCAAATTAACTGTCACTCCACCACAAAGATGGCAGTGCCTACAGTGAAGGCCAAGTTCCTATAATAATCCTTAATGAGCAATCAGCAGGGACCTGAGGCTGCGCCACCCCCTGTGGGGCTTGACAGGGGACTTCAGGCAGCACCCCTCACCCTGGTGCCAGACTGAGGGACCTCAGGCCATGCCCCTCACCCTGGTGCCAGGCCGGGAGAACTCAGGCTGCATCCCGCCGCCCAGCAGGGCTTGACAGGGGACCTCAGGCCATGCCTCCTGCCCTGGCACCAGGCCGGGGGACCTCAGGCCATGCCCCGCACCTGGCAGGGCTTGACAGGGGACCTCAAGGTGCACCCCCTTACCCCAGTGCTGGGGCAAGGGACCTCAGGCTGCTCCTTTTGCCCTGGGCCAGGGGACTTCAGGCTGCGCCCCCTACTCAGCAGGGCTTGATAGAGTACCTCAGGCCACGCCACCACCCAGCAGGGCTTGATGGGGGACCTCAAGGAACACCCCCTGCCCACTGGAGCTTAACAGGGGACCTTAGGCCACATCACCAACCCTGCGGGGCTTGACAGGGGACCTTAAGGTGCACTCACTACCCCAGTCCAGGCTGGGGGACCCCTGCCCAGTGCCAGGCCAGGGGAACTGAGGCTGTGCTCCCCCACCCAGCGGGGCCTGACAACAGTGCGACTGGCTGGGTCTGGATCTAGCCCAATGGGGGAGGAGAGCTGGTTGGGTATGGGGCAAGCAGCACAACATCATCTTCTCAGATAAAAAGCATTGGAATATTTCGTTTTGTACATTTATATATCTCTTCATATGTTCCTTCATCAATTTCTATAGTACGCACAGTTTCTTTTTGGTTCATCTTGATTGGGACTCTCTGGGCTTGTGTGACTTTTTTCTTCCCCAAATCAGGGAAGTTTGCTGTCATTATTTCTTCAAATAGGTTTTCTAATCCTTGCTCCTCTTCTTGTCCTTCTGGCACCCCTATTATATGCATGTTACTTCATTTCATATTGTCCCAAAGCTCCCATAAGCTCTCCTCCTGCTTTCTAATTTTTTTTCTCTAATTGCTGTACAGATTGGGTGTGATTTTCTACCCTGTCTTCTAACTTGCTAATTCAGTCCTCTGCTTCCTCTAGTGTACTGTTGAAACCCTCCATTGTGTTTTTTAGGATTGCTATATCATTCTTCATTTACTCTTGATTCTGACATATATTGGTAATTTTCTCATCCAGCTGATTTAGGAACTGTATGACCCTTACTCTGAATTCTTTCTCTGACATATTGCTTGCCTCCATTTCATTTAGTTCCTTTTCTGGCGAGTCCTCCTTTTCTATCCTTTAAGGGTTGTTTCTTTGACTCCCCACCTCTGCTGTCTCTTTCTGGCCCTGGGATCATTGCCAGGTGTTCAAGGGTTTGAAGCCCCTAGCAGTTCAATTGTCTGGGACTTTCTAGAATGAAAGCTGGGTCTGCCTTGAGTTTCACAACTTTATCTGCTCTGATTTGTATCACCTCCTTCCATGGATCTGGTCCCTCAGTTGTCCACTTCAGATTCTCCCGGATGATGGGGTTAATGCACAGTTCCTCTGGTGTGCTACTCCCTATGAGGGCCCAGAGCCCTGTGGCATGAAATTCACTGTGCGGTCTCAGCATCCAAGGCAGGATGACACCCTAGGACCCTCTGGCAGGGCACATGCAGCATGGTCCTGTGACCTGAGGCTGGGAACACCAGGTCCCACGAGCAGCTCTGACTTTGGCTGCAGGTAGGACGTGCACAGTGTGACTACTCTGTCCACACTTGAGGCAGAGCCCATGCCATCCAAAAGACTATGTCTGTGCCAGGGGCAGAGTGTGGACTGTTCTTCCACCTTGTACTGGAATGGGAGATCGGGCAGGAGTGGGGTACCCCTGGCTTGCACTCACAGTGTGGGGGCCTGTAGCATGGTATCCTGGGAAATGGTTTTGCTCTGGTGAGGGGACACAGCTCAGGAGGCCTCTCTGGCTGCACTCACTGCAGACATCTGGGATCCAACATGTGGTATTACACTGTTCACTGCTGGGGCATGCTGGTGGCTCCACACAGGTTATGGCTGCAAGTGGTTCTCTGCACAGGTCTTGGGGTGGTGTCTGAGGTCATTTTGGTGTTGGTGTGGCTGCATTTCTGGCCTCCACTGCTGCCCTTTACAAGATGGCATGGGTTCCCATCCACTGAAAGGCCAAGGGGTCCAGTAGCCTAGTAGTGGGTTGTAGGGGGGCTGCTGCTGAAGCTGCGGGCTTGGCAGGAGGAGCACACAC